GAACTGTGTCACAGGCTGATTGGATGAGTCATACAAGAAGAATGTTCTTTCTGTGTGTCTGAGAATGGGCAGAAATAGTTTTATAGCATGGCTGTTGGGATGGGAGGGACGTGGACTCCATGCCAACTGGAAGAGTCTCCAGAGACAAGCAGGCACTGTTTTGCTGCTGGATTAGGAAGCTGTAGATAACTCAGGAGCTACTTTTTGCTGCACCAAAATGGGTCATTGATATGGCCTGCTTGTTTGCTGGCAAAAGAGATGACTTCAAATATTTCTGGCTGCTTAGAGAGGATTAGCGAGGCTTTTACAACGTGCTGTGGTAGAATACAGGCATGAATAAAAGGCAAAATAAAACTATAAACACTCATCTCTTAACTAGAACTGAGAAATATGTCTTATCAAATTATTTGAGAGCGGTAGTGAGCTCTCAAGTCTGTAGAAGTCTTTTGAAATATTATTTCCTGTACACTCATTACAGCAACCTGGTAGAAAGAAGATCTGGTTTTGCACATAACTTAGGCACGAGAAAAATCTGGGTATTTCAAGCAAAACTGAAAAGTTTTTCTTAGTCATTATGAAAAGTGGAACTCATGACCTTGCATTTATGTATTTACGTGAAACAGTTTTGTGGAAACATCACTTTCAATTTCTAGAGTTTTAACAGGAAAATGGGGAAATTTGGAAAAAGCTAAGGTCTGATGGCAAATAATTTATAAAGATAGCTAAGCATCACTTGCCAAGAATTTCCACATCCATGGATGATAAAGTGGCTTTCTAAATAGGTGACTTCTACTAATGCAAGACTGGACATGAAAATCATCTAAAGCAATATCCCATGTACATGCAGACTGATGAGAGTCTGTAATGTAAAATGAGTTTTTTTGATAAAGAAAAGCATGCATACATTTTAAAAGGTTAGAGGACTCATTCTACAATCTTGTGTTTCCAGGCATCCTGTTTACCAGGGCTTGTTCTTGGGCAAATCTACATGCTCAACTGACCAATGACTGCATTGCCTTTGGTGGCTGTGACATATTATTATTGGGCGTCAGTGATTTAAATACAATATTGTATGCATCAAATGATCATAAACTCGGAAAACATCCCTTTTTTTTTTGCCTATACTTCTGATTGGACTTCATAGGTGATGAGGCTCATGGGTTTAGGCCTTCCGGTGCTTAGGTTTGTGCTTAAGGTGAAATGTATTAATTATAGAATCATAGAATCACCAAGGTTGGAAAAGACCTAAAAGCTCATCCAGTCCAACCGTTCACCTATTACCAATAGCTCCCACTAAACCATGTCCCTCAACACAACATCCAGTCTTTCCTTGAACACCCCCAGGCTCGGTGACTCCACCACCTCCCTGGGCAGTCCATTCCAGTGCCTGACCACCCTTTCTGAAAAGTAATACTTCCTAATGTCCAGCCTGAATCTCCCCTGCCGTAGCTTGAAACCATTCCCTCTGGTCCTTTTTCAATTTGTTTTGCTGTCATATTTTTGTATGGAAAACTTAAATTTTTCTCCATCTCCATTTTCCATTTGCTAGATCTCAACGAGATGTGGGAGGCAGGAAATCCTTCCTCACTCAGGAGCTGCAGATGGTCCCTCCTGCAGGACCAAGCACCTCCTGCAGTGCTTCAGCCTGGCTTCTCCTCTTCTGGGGAGGCCATGTCCCTGTTGTTGATGTCTGTTTGCTAAACGAGTGTCCCCTTAGATACACAAACTATTGCGTGCTTTTAAAGCAAAACCAGTTTGGCACTGATGATTCACTCCATGCAGTTTTGCACAGGCGGTGATTCTTTTCTGAGTAACACCCCCCTCAAAAAATTTCATTTCTTGACAGTTAAGACGTTTCTGAGCAGTACTCTTTTAACCTTTTCAGTGGGTGCTCCTTTTCCCTAACACACTGCATTGGAGACACAGGTTTGAATTCACATTCCTCTTAGCATGGAGGTCGGTAATGGAAAAAATACTCTCCACTGGGAAGGGTGGCACTTGATATCGTACTCAAGGACCCCAGTAATGCTTGAGGACAATGAGTCTTGAGAAAATCTGTCAGCTTTCTCAGCTCTTTTCTTTTTCCTTATAATCAGAACTTTTGTTTTGTTCCCAGCCAAATGGCATCTGATGACGTAAATTGCTGTAAAGGGAAATTCATTCCACGGATCTGCTCTTGGATCCTATTGCAGGTTCTGGATTGCACCGGATTGTACATCTGTATCTGAAATGGTGGAGTTCCAGGGAGGCGCTAGCAGGGAATGCTGCCACTATTTCTGCACTGACATTTTTCACAAGGTTGTTGTCACTGCTTCCTTTGGGCAGCCTTGGTCTCTAATTCGGGAAGTCACACGGTTTACAAATTACTTCAATTTCTAAATGAACGGAGACTACAGAGAAAATGACAGTGTCCCAGTTCCCCATTTTGCATTATTTTTGAAGTTTTTCTCTCTCTGAAATTGCTAATAACAGATGCTTGAATTCTAGTCAAGTGAAAAATTCCAATTGATTTCAAAAGAAGTTGGATTGTATCCTAGCATCAGTTTGGCACCTATGAAAACACAAACATATGCAAGGGCTTCACTTTCAACTGCACTCAAAAATAATAGTTAAAAAAAATCTAATGTCAAAATTCTGAAACTACTTATTTAGTGGGGGGGAAAAAAACTCTTCAGAATGTACAGAAGTTTCTGATAGGAAATTTAAGTTGTTGCTTAACAGCTTTGAATGTCAAGTATGTCTGAAAACTTGAATGTAGGCCATGCTGTCTATTTGTCAAAGGAATTGCCTTTGATCTTATCATCCCGTTTTCTGTGGCTTTTAAGTTCAGTAATACTCGGTTCTGAAGACATCTTACTTTGGCTAGGGATTCCCTTGTATATGTTTGATTTGGGTTCAGTCTTGGGGTGTTCTCTTCTAGTTGGGCTCAAGCATATGGTTTGATTTTATGTTAACTTACAGCATTTCTTACATATGCCCATTACTCATTCACCACGCAAGTTCAATAAAATTATGGCATCTTTTATTTTTTTTATTTAAAGCTGACAAAGAAGTCATACTTAAAACCAATCTAGGAAATTACTTCATTGTCAAAATTATTTCCTCTGATCATTTCCATGCTTTAATTTTATATTATTCTTTCTGGAGCTGTAGCAGAGGACTTTTACCACTGGAATGAACGAGAAAATGACATCATAGTAAAATGTCATGTTTTTTCAGCTCTTAAATGGCTGAACTACAATTAATCAAAATTGGTGTGATTTTTATGAAGTGATACGACCAATAATTTAGAGTTTTAATTGGTACCTGAAATGTCTCTTCTAAGGCATAAACATTTAGAAATAGTGATATTTTTTCTTTTTTTTTTCTTTTTTTTTAATAGAACTACACAAAACGAATGTGATCACCCATTGCTAACATCAAGTGTAGCCTGCGCCATGTGAAATGGTGAATACAACAGGGTTAAAAGATGCCTATTTTTCTTTGCGCTGTCTGAGAGGTTGTTGTGAGTAACTCTGAAAAGATAGCTCGTTCCATTTGAAGCTGCACGGAGTAGAGCATGGGATGGCAGCCTGCCAATTAGTGATCCATTTTCTCAGCAACCCAGTTTGAGGCGATGCCAACCAGTCACATACATCTTATCTTCAGCATCATAGTGCAGTCTCGTAATTCGTGCAAAATTATGTTTGACGTTAAATTATAAACCCTTAGTGTAATAACAAAAAAAAAAAATAAATAACCCTAAAAGCAAATTAAAAATTATGTTTTCACTGGAGCAGGTTATAAGCCCACTAGAAATGTGATCTGTAGTCATCAGTCTATGGGCAAAATTCCATTTCTCAATGTTGTTTTTTTTTTTTTTCCTCTTTACTGAGAAGAAAAAAAAAAAAAAGCTGTAATTCACAAAATGAAGTTAGTTAGTCCAAGATACCTTTCTTATTTTTTTTTTCTTTAAGGTGGTAAATAGTAGGTTTTTTTCTTTCTATTTTTGCTGTCCCACATTCAAACTACTATAGTGTGGCCCCTTGCGGTGTCCCAGTGTTACCAGCTGCAGGTCTGGGGAGGGAAATTTTCTTCATCCTTCCAGCACCATGCAGCACCATGTTTCCTGTTGTCTCCTAATGACTCACAAATAGCCATTGATTCGTAAAGGCTGAGGAGAAGACTGCAAGAGTGATTGAAAGAAGAGCTCAATGGAGAGAGAAACCATTTTTTTCATGATAACTTTGGTATATTACAGGTTATCAACATCATTACATACACACTGTGTTATTTTTCCTTCTAGCCTTAACAATGTTTTCCAACATGTCTGTGGTGTTAGAGCGTTATTTATTCTAAGAACATTTTAAAATAAAGAAAACTTCTAACAGCTGTGATGATCTCTGCATACCTGAAATCCTAGGCCAAGTTCAGCCCTTTGCTGTTCTGTTGGTGTCATCTGTAAGGAAGAGTTCGTGAGTCTGAAAGAATTAAAATTTTGGAGATATTTTAGTGGATGACATATGAAGTATAATTTTATGAAGGTTGGCTTTACAAGTTTTTTTTATAAAAAGGTAATTAGTGTGAAGATTTCTGAAGTTTGGTTGTTTACATGCAGAATTTTTCTCATTAATTGGAATTCAAGCTTCATTGAAAACAGCTTCAGAAATAGTTCAGTGCCCAAATATATGAAAATAATGCAAAATCACTTAAAATCTGGCTTTCACTTGCTTTGCAGAGTAGACTTCACTTTTACATCACAATGTAGATAATTACTTGACACATCTATGTTCATACTTAACACCAGCTATTCAGAAAGCTGGGGAGATATTCATGTTCATTTGGTGGTATAATGCACTGAGAAGGGCTTAATCATTCTTAATTTGGATATTATCTACTTCTTTCTGTAGACTGGAACATCGAGAGTGGGACAGTGTCCATTGAACTGCCTTGAAACTTGCCTGAAACGTGGCTTTCTGCTTTCTCCTACATGTCTGATTGTTCCCCAAGGAAAGACCATAATTTGGGATAAGTTCTGCTCTCCAACAGACTTATCATGTGTGGGGATGGTATTTCTGAGCTTGTGCGTCTGTAAGGCCATGCACTCTACTGTGCTGAATCCAAGAGAAGACTTCCAAGTGATTGCCAGGTAACTCCAAATGCTTTCATATCTTCTAGTGCCAAATTAATTCTAGTATTGGAAATTAATTTCCTAGCATGTTTGGGGAATAAAGAGGTGAATTAATTACTGCAGGCATCATGATACCATCCAAAGTCTGCGGTTAGTTATTGGTTCAGATTAGCATGAAACTGGTAGTAATTGGGTTCTGCTTCTTTATCATTCAAGAGCTCTTTTACATGACAACACAATATACGCATCTCCAAGGGATACCTCTGGCACTTCCACTGCTCTCATTTCTTTGCACACCCTTGTTCATTATTGAAACTTGGAACCAAAGCAGGATATGGGGAGGTCTGTCCGTCTGCTTTATTTCACCTAAGCAAACTCTACGCTCCCTTGTTAGCACAGGAAGCGTTTATGAAAGTTGTTTAAAGAGCAATTGCTCTTCACCAGGGATGCTTGCCTTTGCTCTGAATTTAAATCAGGTTCATGACGCAGAAGGGAAACGTAAAGCTTCTGGGCTGTGTTTCTGAGCTGAGTGTTGTTGATGGGCCTCAAAGTGCCCAAGAAGAGGGAGATCTCATCAGACTGGCTATGTATTTAGGCAACTATATGGCCCCATATTGTTGTGTATCATTAAAATTCTGTACAGAAGATGGAATTAGGAAGTTTAAAATAAATAATAGAAATAAGTTCTGAATGCTGTCAAGTAAATGTAATTGTATTGTTAGAACTGGAGCTCCTAGAGCCATATTGGTGCAGAAAGCAAGTCTGTGTCTATGGGAATTTAACGAATACAGATTGTAGGTCAACAAGCAGTGCCTATACTGCCTGTACTTGTTTTTGTTGTTGCCATTACGTTTCCTGTGTGTTTTGCTATAAAGTCTCATTCTCTTTATCTGTCTTGACAGACGGAATCAGTAAATGTTACATTATCAAGTTTTATCTAAAAATGTCTTCCACTGATAGCGCATTTATCTCATGTCATAATAGCTCTTTGTACCAAAGCACTGAGAGCTGGGAAAATCCTGGCTGGAGAGTAAGCTTGCATTTTTGAAGTAGTAAAAAGTTCTTTGTTCTTACAGCATCCTATTTTTAGAGTGAACTTAATTAAAATGAGTAAGGAATTTAGAAATCTGGAATAGGAAAAATGGGTCATTATTAATTATCATGTATATAATAAGTCCAGGGCTGTAGTCTTTCCTCACAATGCATGTATGTCTTTTCCTTCCTCACAGACATTTCTCACTATCAGTTGACTCCACTTCCTTTCTCTACAGCCCTGGCTTAACAAATTGCTAAGCTGTGTACCTAGCTGGAAGAAGTCAAGGAGGCTTTTTTGGGTTCTACTCAGACACTGTTGAGAGCATTTCCATGTCAAATTAAGCATAATGTGCTGTCAAAATTCAGCTTCACTAATGCATCTCCACAACCTCTTTCCCTTCTTCCATGCCTTCAGCACCTTCTCCCTTTCACCTGATATCTGTGAGATCGCAGTCAGGAATATGTGTTTCTTTAGGTGGTGCGGACAGAAGGGAATAATAGTATCCTGTGTTCATACTGTTTGCAAATGATTATTCATATTTTATGATCAATACGATTCAACTTGGCTTTATCCTTCCTGCTCCTTCCTTTCTACCTTGTCAGCCTATTTTTCTGTCAGTGTGCTTGGGACTTTCCTGTGCTCTTCCTCCCCAGCTTCCGAACTCTTTTGTGACTTCTCTGACTCTACTCTGTTCCTATATATATTTGTCCTGGTCTGGGCCTGTCTGTGCCATCTGGGCCACCTCGACTTCTGCCCAGGTGAAGCTCTCAATGCAAACAGCTCATTGCAGCTGCTGGGCTGGAGTCATTCTGTTCTTCCAACACGTACCACTGCTTCCATTCCTCTACAAGGCCAGATGACCGAAGTAAGGGGCTTATTATTCATTTCTTTGTTTCTTTTAGAAGCAACATCAGACTAGAAAACTGTAATGCAATACTAACTTTTCATGAATGGGGGAGCTTAAGGTCATGAGTAGTTCTTCTCTCTCCTCTCCTTTCAAACTTGCAAGCTTTGGTTGGAGATCAGTCATATTTGACATTTCCATGAAGATTTCTTAAATAATTCATTTAAACTATGATAAGTTGGTAAAAGATTACCACTATGGTTCCTCTGGTTGTACAGAAATTACTAAACTGTCAAGGTTGAACTGGTTCACGCTGTTGAATATCCTGTTTTTACGCTCATAATTCTAGGATTATTCCCTGTGACATCCTGTCAAACGACTTCAGTTTGGACTCCAGTAAATTATGCCCCTTGGGTTTCTCTGAGTGCCTACAAATAGACAGGAAATGTTCAGCAGTGATTAAAGCACATCAATATACTCTGTCAAGTAGTTGCTGTTTTTAAAACTACAGGTGGATAAATCTTAGCAATAGAAAAATTGGCTATGTAAACTAATTATGTTGGTTTTATTTTTGGCTAGATAGGAGGGCTATAAATAATGTATCTATAATGTATTTATACAGTGCAATGCTTTTATAAAAATGAAAGAGAAACCAAAGAATAAATAACTCCTCATAGAGATTGTATTTGGTCTCATAAACCTCAAACTTTTTGGTTTATGTCAAGTACTATATGACTATTGAAGGAAATAACAAAAAAAAAAAAAAGACAAGAAGATGAAGTTTCTACTGCAGTCTAGACTTGTATTAATATTTTTCACTTCTAGTTTTTCCATTTGTGACTTATGCTGCTGCAATAGAATAAAGAGTAAGGAGGATATTATAATCAGGTCTTCAGACATAAGTTGGGTGGTAAAACCTTGCAGCATTTCAGGTTTGCAGAGCCTGCTGCTGCAAACACTTAGAGCAACGTGCATGGCCTCTCTGTTGGAGCAGCAACACGAAGCCAGCACTGTGTTGAGGACTGTTTGCTGACTGAGCTCCAAACCCACAGATTTTCTGCACTTAGTGCTTGGGAGAGGGGGATAGAAGGGCTGGAAAAGGAAAATAATGTGATTGTAGACGAGTTTTAAATAATTGAGCTACATTTCATTAATTTCTTAACTTCCAGGAATGTGACTTCAGGTGCTGGTTTATTTTAGAGATAGTGGTCAGTGACAGGCAAGATTTAGATCTATAGTAACTCAGACTCCTAAATATGGATTTAGTCTGTTAATTTAGAATCCTGTTTTTTCATCTTTCTCCACTACTTTGTAAGTGCATAAATCCCTACGTGTTTTACTACAACAAACACACCATAAATACCTGCTACAGGCATTTCCTGCTGTCCCTAGATGCCAATACTGAGCTTGCCAACCTCTTTCTCTGATCTAGGTTTCATGGTGACTTCTCAGATACGTTTAACTTAGATGATAGACTAGACTTTGACCAAAAAGCATTGTGATCATTTTTATTCATTAGGAGAAGACAGAAGGTTAAAATCTAGAAAGGACCCCCTTCTTCCTAAAATATCTCATTTCTCCCAAATTACTGTCAAACATGAGATCACTTGAAGGGCTACATGTAGATGCATAAGCCAAAAGCGTGCCTTGAACACTTCTCTTTGAATAGAACAAATCTATCATTCATTCAAACAAACAAAACCCCCTCGGAGCCTAATATCCTTAGTGTCATCATTAATTATAATATGCAATCATAATCATTTTGGAGGTAGACCTGGGGTTAATTTGGCCAAACAACTGCTGATCACTAACAGTGGCCTATTCAAGTGTATGAAAATGATTCCCTGTAGTTCTTACATGTATGACGGAAGTAATATATTGTGGGCTTTTTTTTTGTTGTTCCTACAGGCTGAGTGCCAAGGTATTAATGTTCCCTGTGACTCTGATTCACAATGACTGGATACTTTTAGCTCTATCTTTTTATGAACAGGTGGATAGGAAATCGTTTTGGCATAGAACAAATGGAGAGAGGTGCTACAATGGATTGTCTCTGCGTTAAGGGCCCGCTGCCAATCTATTTTTTTTTCCCCCTGTTTTCCTTTTATAGCTGGCTCTGAAACAATGTGCAGGTTTCTTTTGTCAGAAAGAGAAGGAGTCTTTTGAGGCATCCAGTCGTGTCACTGTCCTACCTGCACTGACACTGTGCTGCTCCCTGGGAGCTTTGTTCGTTTGACAGCAGCCTGGTGAAGCTGCTCTTACTGAAAGCCCAGAAGTGGCAGCAGGCACAATAAGGCCTTAAATCAGCTCTGCTCTTGTGGTTTGGTGTCCATGCTGTAGCTAGGGCTTGTTGCAATATTTATGTGCATGCCATCATACTTGCAAAGTGGAGGTAAAAGTTGATAGATTCAAAAGTACAGTAAAAATAATAATAATAAATAAATTGATGTTTCACAGCTGCTCAGACTACATAGTTGTGAAGGAAACAGTTTAAACAGAGAAAACCTGAGAACTTTCCTACAGTGTTTGAGCAGATAAGGCTGCAGGCTGCATGCTAATTGCATGAACTGCATGCCTATGGACTTGATCCCCTGTGGGTGGCACCCCCAAATAAGCTGTTTTGATGGGAAGCAGTAAATAATTAAGAAAATGAGGATCCATTAGGTTCATTTTCACTGACAAATTTATATGCGATGGCCAAATGTGAAATGAAACCAGAAACTTTTTCTAGTAGTGGGAGGGTGATGCAGGAAGAGTGATTTAAAAAAAAAAAAAAAAATTGACGTGAACTTTGCTTTTCCCCATCTCTAGGTTTCCCAAAAACCAACTAACCAATTACATGTTTCTAACTATAGTGAAATGAACTGGTTCAAAGCAACAGAAGGAAAAAAATAAGATCTGAATTATCACATTATCTCTTATGTTTAAGGATAATTGTTTGGGAGAAGGGGAGAGGGAAAGAGTAAATGCTGTACCTGACTGGAACAAGGCAATACAACCAATGAAGAAAAGGCACTGTTGGAGGATGTTTCAGTTTTATGACATTATTGCCCACGCACTGGTTTTGAGGAAATGCACGGGCATAAACTTCTACATCTTACAGAAAGAAAAGAGTCGACTGACTCACTGGCAGTAGCAATGTAACGTACTTTGGAACAGCCAGAGCCAAGCATATGGTATTCATCATTAGCAGCAGCAACAGAAATGATTGCTGTGGGGTTGGGGCTGCGATACCCACTGCCTGGCTCCTCATCTCTGTGATGCCCTCAGTGCTGCCTCCAACACAGTGTTCCATGTGTGGTCTGGGGCTTCTGCCCCTCAAGCTGCTGCTACATTCGGTCCTCACGGTCACCTCCATGCGATAAGCTCCCTCATTAAGAGTTTTACCTTTGTTTTCCCCTTCCTCATCCCACTGTTTATGAGCCCTATTAATCTGCAAGGCTATAAAGTCTATCCAAAGAAACACTATATGACAAAAAGAGCTCTTTGCTGTTGTCATTTTTTTTCCTTCTCCACTCTTCATTTAGCGATTGGCTGGGGAGCTTGGAGACCTGAATCAAAACCTGAAGCTGTCAACTTGCTGAAATAGTAAGTAGCTTTTAAAACGTCATTACCATTCACTGTTATCATTATGCTTACATAGTACAACAGCAGCTCAGCATTGGTTTGATAGTCACAGCGATCATCTGTGCTCCTCAATAGCTTTTGAAATGTTCCTCTATAACATAAACGTCTGGCAGTACCTCAGGATCGAGACAAATGTTTAATATCTGCGTTACTAATGGTGAAACTGAGATATAGAATGTCTTAAGTGGCTGAACCCGAGAGCATTATGCTGTGAGAGAGCTCTCCAGGCTGGGTGAGAGCCCTGGAGGGTCCCCATCACACCAGGGGGAAGACTTTAAGATCTGCAGCTACTTCAGTTCTCTTATAGATGACCCTGGGCATCTTGGTGGGTATTGCAGTGCTATGTTAAGTTACTCTTGAGATGAGAGGAAGTTGATTTTTGCTATCTGTATTCAGATATGGAGTTGGAGAGCAGGCTCTTTGCTGCTGTTCTGTGAATTGTGAAGTTTAGCTTTATGCTTCCACATATTTGCTGTTGTTTAGAAATAGGAAGAAAATGCATTTGAATGGCAAAAAAACCAGCACCTGTAAAAAAACCTGAGAAGTTAAAGAATTAAAAAGTGCACTGTATCTGGTGGGTCCATTCCTCCAAAGGGAGGAAACTGTTTTTTTTACCTCGCTAACATTCTCCCTTGCAACCTTCGTTCTCATTCAACGTCAGCGATTCCTCCACATGAGGATTTCCTTTGTTTATTTCTGTATTTATTTGAACTACTGAGTGTGATGAATCTAGCAATGACTTAGTCTGCAACCATTCTTTTGTCGCTGTCCTCAAAATTCAAATTCAGTTTGTAGTCTCTTTTTACCAGATCAATACTGTATAAAATATTGTCGTGTCGTGCTGTTACTGGACTGTGTTACTTCAGGAAAATAATTGAAGTTACCTTTCATCTCAGAATACTTTAATGTACTTCTTTATCTGTTTTAAACTGTGAAAAATTTCCTACTTGAAATGGGGAAACTGTATAGGGCATCTTTATTTCTGACCTTAGGTTGCATTTTTACACTTCTAGAAATATTAGCTTGTTACTGAAATGTGACCTTTGCTTTCAGTACCATGCATCTACGTTCTGCCACACCCCAGCCACCAGGTTTTCCATGTGAAATACAGTATTTCTATGCATCTTTCATTTTTTTTAAAGCCTGGTCTAGAACGATGACAAGACTGCGTGAATGATAATATGCGAATTTTGTATTCCCCGTAGTGAGGCATCATTTTGGTTCTTTACAGAATATGTATGGCAGTTTATTGCTTTCATGAAATATTGGAGGAATGCAAAGATGAGAAGTTTAGTGCTTGGTAAGAAAGCCAGAATCCAAACAATGCTTCAAAGGCTTTTAAAATAAATCTTTATGTCGGTGTTGACAAATTTGTGGATAATTCCACTGAAGTAGTACCATTTGAGATTGATATTTCCATTGAGAGAAGATCTTAATAACACAATTATATTCAGATTTGGCCAAAGTGTCTTCCTATCTGAGGCCACCTCGATGCAGAGCAAGCTGAATCCTCTTGGGCTAAATTAAAGCACCAGCCTCTACCTGAGGACCTTCATCTCTACAGCTTCCCCAGCAGTTTCCCACATGTAAGTTCACAGAGGAGCTAATGGCACATGGAATGAGTTGTACTTTGTAGTACAAGTCCTTTGAGATGGGATTTCTCAACTTCTGCTTTTGGCCACCTTGTTCCATGCTTGCCTAAGCCAAAGCATTAGTCTTTGTCTGACCAAGGAGTGAAAGCTGTTAGTGCAACCAATTAATTGTACCAGGATGCTTTTTAGCTATTTTTTGACATTGTAGGCCAATCTTTCACTTCTCTTGGATCTGTTTTCTCAATCCATGGAAACATTGTGAGAAAGGAACTAATGGAGATGAGTTTTAATGTGAAAGGAGGAGGTGCTCTGTTCAGCCTCTGTTAGCTGATATTAAGGGCTTATGTGGGACAGCTGTTGTCCCATGGAGTAACCTCTATGATCTGCTAATTAGGGTGGCAGTATCTGCTTGTAGGAATGTCTGCAACAAAACAGGAGCAAACAAATTAAGGTAATCAATGAAATTGGAAGTGGGGGATTAAAAGATGAGGGAGATATGGGAAAGGAAAAGGGAAGTTGTAGTATTAAGCCTGACTTTCCATCCCTTCCCATACTCTTTGGACAGTCCTGCTATGTCTGCACTGAATTTGTTCCTCCTGTGCTGGCAGTTGCTGCTGGCGTCCTGAGGAGAGGAGGAGGAGGGAGGTGAGGCTGTAGCCCATCTGCTCCAGATCCTGTGCTCTGCCCTGTTCTCCTGCTGGGCAGAGAGGATGGGGCAGTTCTGGTGTTCAGATTGCTGGCTGTATGGGATAAAAAAGCACTTAGCAGAATTGGTGGGAGCAGGCAGATTTTACCAATTTATGTTGCCAAGCTACATACCACAAATGTGTCTGTAAGCGCTGAGAAATGAGTATGACTGCAGCTTTGTTTATAAGTGGCATAAAACCAACAAAGACAGCCAGTCACCCAGCTTTTATAAATTACATTTTTTAACTGAAAACATAATGAGGTTAAGATTGCTGCTTCTGATTTCCAGGTTTTTTTTTTTTTAATTTCTCTAATTTTTACCTCACTTCCCCCATTCACTCCTTCCCTCACTCAAATGCACAGAGAGGACAGAAACGGGGGAAAAAAGAGCAAGATTCATAAAGAGTAGAAAAAGACAACTTTGAAGTAATTGATACAGTATTTCTGCTCTTTGATAAACTTCACATTTTCCTGAGGTAGAAAGCGTGCAGCTCTTTAAGTAGAGGGCTGTAATTTGGGACTTCAGCCAGAGATGTGCTTGTGGGAAGCAAAAATGGCCTTCACAGCACTTGGGGGAATGCAGATTTTTAAATTAAGTGTTTAAATTCAAAAAGAAAAAAAAAAAATTAATAACAATCCTGCTGCTGTTGTAAAAATGACCCTAAAGTCAAATGCGCAGTGCTTGTGTTACTGAAAGTTGTAGTAGACAGAGGAATTTGGATGAACTTTTACCACTGAATCTCTGCTGTTTATTTAAATTAAACAATATTTGCTTTTGTTGTATACCATGCAGATGTCTTTCCAAGATTTTTTTTTAAATATATAAAGCTTTTAAGGCTTTTCTTGCTGTCTGATGTCTTTAAATGTACTGTATATCACATTTATGAAATGCATTGGTACCAGAAAGAAGCAGACGACTTTGTTTTTAAACAAAGACCCCAGAATAAGGGGCAATGTTTTTCCCCTCACAGGTGATGGAGTATGTACAAAGAATGCAGCAGATAATGGCAGTCCTGTCCTCTGAACAGATGGTGATGGTCCTGTTGCTAGGATAAGGCCTGAAGAATTTAGTTTTTAATTCCACATTATTTGCCTCAGTGCCATGAATATCCCTAGGTTTCCTCAGGCAAAAATACAACAAATACACAGAAAGAGAAAGAGAAGTGACATGCGGATAGAAAAGGAGACAGAGCACGGGAAAGGACTGGAGCCAGGTCAATAGAAGCTTTTGGGAAAATGTCTGCTCAGCTGTCTGCAATCACCTGGGTTTGAAAGGCAGGCAGGAAGGAAGATTGGTTTGGCATGAGAACGAGGCCTTTGATGCTTTAGATACCACAGAGAAAAATACCCATTTCTTCCCATTAGAAGTCTGTTGACTTTCCTAATTAAGATAAACATGTTTCTGAAGAAGTTAGCTCTCACAGTACTACATTTGTAAAAACAACCGTGCTTTTAAAATATATACACAGACAAGGACGTGTGCCAAGAACTAGTGCTGGTGTGGTCTTACAAATCACTTTACAGGAATATTTTTAAATCATTGCCTTATTTAAAAGTGAGCGGATTTCATTCCCTCCAGTCAATTAAATATCTAATTTCAACTCAAGTAGATAATAACTGAAGTATTTTTATATAAATGAATGAACAGTTAGAAAACTGTTAAAACACACAGCCCTTGAGCATGAAAAATATATTCGTTTAACAATTTTATTCTTTTATCCCTAATTTACTACAGAGATTTTGTGCTTTTCATCATTTTAGTTTGTGACACTGGGGGGAAAAGAAATCTAATTTCAAAAAGATGAATTCAGACTGAAATTCTCCAGGATCTCATTGCCACCTGAATTATTCCAGCAACTGTATTATGTGTGTGGTGGACAGCATTGATTGACAATTGTGATTTGGCAAAAGAACTGTTATGGGAAAACCTGTGAATACTTCTAGTGCCTATGACCCAGTCCCCACATTAATGCATGTGCAAGATGTCCAACAAAACCAAACCAACGCAGCCTGCCCTCCTGAAATTTGGGGGATTAATCTGAATGTTCTGCTCTTTCTAGGTGTCTACACAAAGCTGGACTGCATCAACAGTTCCCCATTTTCAACTGCTCTGTGGCCGGTGAGTCTCTCAACCCCCACCTCCATAGAAGTTCTGTTGACTGGGATGAAATCCATGCCATCTATGTTGAGATCCACCGCGTAAAAAATATAGCTAACAGGAAATCACATGATGAAAACATCTCCTGTTTGGTGCCTGAACGCAAGTGGAGAAAAATCTGGATGAATGCATACAGGACTTAAAGTATGTGCCAAAATATACCATACACATGTTATTTATGCACGCGTGTATGTGTGTATATATATATGCATAATTCATGCCTCTATACCCCAAAAAAAAGAAAAAAAAAGTCATTTTTATCAACAACTAAAAAAAGTTATGCCTAAGAAAGATAATTTCAAAATTAGCTCACTCAGAACAGATGCTTTAGGAGGTCTCCAAACAGTTGCTGTTTTCACTGTGTGTCCAAAAGCATCCATAAGTGTAATATAAAAAGGATCAGAGTTTATTGATACTTGGCTGTCTGGGCACCATGTTGTTTCAGAACCCTCTGGACAAGCCAACACAGTTTTCCCTTTAACTAATGTCTTTCCAGTAGATCCAAACACTCCATCTTTTACCTCAGTCTCACTTGTGGAAATTCATTATCAGTTCATGGATTTTTTTTCTTCTGTCACCTTCAGTGTCTCCTAACAACCAACCACCTGCCATGCTTCCTTTTTAAGTACCTGTCGATAGTATCTTGTTCTCAATTCTGTCTTTTATTCTACCACATTCAGAGAATTTTGCTTAATATTTGATGTCAAGAAGTGAGATGTACCAGCTACAGATAGCAGCAACCTTCTTTTGCTTCTGAGTGCAAAGGGGAGAAGGAGGGAGGTGGTGGAGTCACCTTCCCTATAGGTTTGCAAGAAAAGAATAGGTGTTGCATTGAGTGTGATGTTGTTTAGTAGGCATGGGTAGATGGTTGGACTTGGTGATCTTAGTGGTCACTTCTAACCTTAATGATTCTCCGATTCTAAGGTGAACTTTCTAATGTGTTGCTTATCTTGGTCTGTATTAGGAGCTTGCTGCAGAACCCTATTCTGGAGCATCTTTCTTTCCATTATCTCCAGAGAAGATTAAGGGTAACTTTCTCGGATGTGCCTGTAATGGTTAGATGCCTTAGTGAGGCTCCCAGCTATTCTCCAACTCATTGCACAAAATCATGAGGTGAATTTTTCACAGTCCTTCATGTGAAAATAAATAATAATACCTCTGAAACTTGATCAGAGATGAAAGAAACCTTTTCCTTTGGAGAGCTGGAGAATTGTTTTCCCATGCAGTGTGGTTTATGATACACACAGAAGCCTTTGTGGCTCATGATGTTTATCCTTCATGTTGCAGGAAGGAGTCAGATGCATGCCTTCAAGTGAGATAATGTGTCACTTCTGACATTTCTCTTTCTAAAGTTTGTGTTCTTTCTTTTAAATACTGCCTGTTCATTTACAAATCTGTACTGAAGAAAGACTGTGCTACCCTTCTTGATTCCTGGTTAATAAAATATCATATGCTGTTACCTTTCAGATGATCGGAATGGTGTTGAAACTGGAGGAAAACATTTCTCCTTAACCTCATCAGAATTTGATATAAATTTCCTTAAAAACAGGCTTTCAGGTTTTCTTTGCTTTCTAATTTTAGACATATTTTTTTCTTCATGCAGAAGCAAAGGTGTCAGTGGCATAGCTAGCTTGTGTAATGAAACACATAGATTTCTGTTCAACTTATTTTATTTCTCACATTCATCATTCATATTTAATGCCACAGGCATTAGACTTCTTAATTCCCTATATTGAATTGAAGAGGCACACACAGCATGTGCTCCAGTTTAATGACTTGTAATTCTTCACCGATGGCACGCTTTTTCACCTGAAAAACTTGTGGTGCCAAACTTCTGCTCCCATCTGCATCGCAGTCAGCATCCTAAACAAGGTGGTGATGGCTGGAGAGCTGAGTGGTTGGAAAGTGTGAGGTGCTAACCTTAAATGCCTCGGTGTGAGAGTGGAATACTGGCTTAAGGGTTATTTTGTTGATGTGGCTTTTTTCTCTTTAATTGAATCTCAGAAGTCGCTGACTTCTGTCCCACTGGCTCTCGGTCATGCCTCTTTTCTTTGCCATTCTCTTTTTGTGAGCCAAGTTTCAAGTAACATGAAACTCTTCCCCCACCCTAAGCTAATTAGCATCAATCTTCTGAATAGATTTGCCAATAATATTTTCAGCAAAAAGGCTTCACAGACTTTAGAAGGACTAGTGGATCAGATGAATGACCATTGAATCTGGCGTTGGTATCTCAAACTAAGATGCAGTGGGCTAGGCATTATCCTCAATGTGTTTACTTACAAATATCTCATAGAAGTATCACAGTTGTTAGGGTTATTGATTTGGAAGAATCTTTGTATCTTGAAATAAAATAATATACAACTACAACATGTTAATGGTGCTAGGGCAGTGTCACACCTTTAGAAAAATTTACCAGTCCTCACAGACCTGAAGCTTAGGTAGACTTACCTTTTTGTGATTTCCCAAATGGACAGATAGAGACATTGATAAGCTATGGCTTGTTACCTGTGAACATTCTGATAGCCAAATGCAGCATCCACAGGAAAACAAAAATCAACACTGAATTTCCTCTCTAAGTAGTTGTGAGAAACATTCCTGAGAGTTTCCCTCTGTTGCTTTCAGGAAATGAGAGGGAAAGAGCAAAGAAATGAAGTTGCCTAGTTATGTGAGGGGAGAGCACGCTTGAACAAGAGTAATGACTCTTTACAATAAAAGTCATCTCTGGAGTAGAATATTTCTCCTTCAAGACATTCTCAAGGCATGTGTTTTCTTAGGAGACAGGAGGGATAGAAATGGGTGAGGAGGAGAATGGTTCCAGTCTTGTTCCCAGCAAAGGCTGCAGACTAGATGCTGGCTGGTGTGATGTGTGAAGAGAGAACATACAGCTATTTGAGCAGCTTTAGAATACCTGCCTTCTTAGCAGTGTGTTCACTGGGGTAATCATTCTACAGAACCATTTACTGTCTGGCACTGACCTCTGCATGGCTGGCTTCTTTGTGTCTGTGTGTTCAGCACAGTAAAAGCACAGCTGTCCTGCTGGGAAAAGGCTTTATTCATTGTCAGAAAGGCTTCATTCATTGTCAGGCATGTAGTGAGGAGGAGGACGAGTGGCAGAGGTTATCCAGGTACAGGTCCTTTTAAATATAACATCAATTTTTAAGGGAGCTCACGTAAGTGTAAGAAGTTATCCCTGAGTGAATGTGATCGTCGTGAGAAAATGAGAATTATTCTGTTGATGAATAGCAATTTAACCTTAGTCTACATAATATACATGACATTTTTCTTTGGAACGTATCCTAAAGCATTCAAAAGAAGGGGAAAAAAAAGGCACTTACCAGAAAAGATCTTCAAATATTTCAGCATAGAAGTGAAAAATTTATATCTAGGAGAGGGCTTAGAGGCCACCTCCTTCGCATTCCTGTCCCAAAGTAGGACCAGCACAACCTAAAATGTGCTTCAACTGCCAGCTTTTTCCTCCTTTCTTCTCCCTCTTGGAAATCTAGCTGTTATTTTTGTAACTTTTCAAAGGTTTATAGAATCATAGAATGGTTCCTTCTTCCTTTTCCTTTTTTTTTTTTTTTTTTTTTGTAAAGATCTTAATGTATTTAGTGTTCTGATTTCTCTTTAGTAGCTAGAAATGTCTCAGAAAGTGGTTATTAATAAATCATTAAAGGTTTGCATCTCGTTTCATTTCCGTGCCGTTCTACTACTGTGTATTTTCAGCCACAGTACAAAGTCATTCTGAAAATCTGAATTTTTGTTTTGTTTTACAACAGAGTCAAGCCTAAATGATGCTGACAAGCCTACAGCTTTTTCCTTTACCTGTAATGCTTTATTACTCAAGTTCTTTGCTTAGATAAAAGATTTCTTAGCCTGATCTTGTTTTATCTGGCATCTATGATGCGGAAATAATCATGCATGCAGGGTTTTACAAACGGCATATCTTGAAGAGAACGTGGAGAAACTTCAATGATAGGGCTTTGCTGGGAATAGGGAATAGCAAGGTTGAGTATAATGCTTGATAACTACTGATAGTCTCAGTAGCACCAAAGGAGGTATGGGAAATGATGAAAAAACTTATAAAAGGTAAACTGACTATAATTCAAACTAAATATCTCCCCTCGTGCAGAAGCTCTTTCTAAATTACTCAGACAAATGAGCTCATTTATGGAATATTTTGTACTGCATGAACTTATATGGGCACCTGTCATGTATATATATTTTTAATACTGAACTTGTATAGATGGCTTAAAGTCCCCCTTGCCCTTTAGTAAATTTAAATCTCCCACAAAGCTGCTGTACAGTAGTCATAAAGAAACATTTATGGTTCAACATAATTTCCCTTCATTTCTTTTTCTTTCTTTTTTTAAAAAAAGAAAAGGCAGTTTAAAAGTAATAAAGCACTTCCTTCTGTAAATCTTTGATCTTTTTTCTTCCTAAGGGAAGATTAATTTGTAAATATGCTAATGGATTTGTATAATATGAAACCTTCATAAGAAAAACTACATTAGTTCATATGAATGAACACATCTATCTTATTCAATTTATAAACTAATGGCTGAGAGCATCAACACTGTGCTCTGCTCAGTCTCTTGTCCAAAATCACTGCATGCATTTCTCAAACAATACAGAATTTTACAGAACAGAAATGTGTTAAATAGGACCAGTTTTATCACCTTTGACTCTTTTCTTGTTTGACTGCAGCAGTGAGACTTGCTGATGTTCCAACAAGACAAATACCCTGCTTGGAGGAAATCCATTGCTAACGTGATGGGAGTTGCAATGTGTGGACATTAATTACCTGGCTGCGTGCCCTCCTAACGAACCCTGATGTTTGCCACCAAAGGGGCTGAGTGTGCCAGTACAGTGCTCACTTGGGCAAGCACCCCAGCAGCTGCAGGACCAAGGCAGATGTCACAGCTCAGAAGCAAAGCTCAGAACATGGCCCCTGCCAGAACCTTGTTGGGTAGCGATGTTGTTTATTTCCCTTAGGAAAACTGGGGCTGCTGCCTCCTACCTCCCCCCCCCCCCCCCCCCCTCCCATGATCATATTGACTGTGATGGGGGGCAAAGCTACCCAGCAGGAGGGGAGGGACCTGGATGAGTAGGTTCCTCACGGTGGGATTTACCCTCACTGGAGGTGCAGTAAGAAGTGGTGGGCTGCAGCTTCCTTCTCTCAGCTCTACGAAGCTCTGTTCTTCTTTTCTGCACCTGGAGCCCACATTTCATCTCCTCGCTTTTTCCTTGCTTTGATTTATTTTGGGTCTTAGCTGAGAGCGTTGCCGTGATGGCAACATCCTCTCTAGAAGGAGAGGTGGAATTGGAGATGGAGGAGACACAGACAGCAGGGTGGGTAGACCCTGCTGTATCCATCTAGAACTTTCTTCCAGTTTCTCTCTGCCATTTGTTTTTTCATTCTCTTTCTTTTTGCCTCCTTGCTTTCCTAAACCATGTAGTACCAATAGGAACTTGGCACAGTATTAAATCAAGCAGATCTGAAAACCAGTGGTCTAGCAGTGTTGTGAGAATGGCAGCCCAAGGCCTGCAGGAAAAATGGCTGCCATGTGAAGAAATCTGTGTATATCACTTTTATTCCCTTATACTTCAAAACATTTATTTATTTGTTAAGCAAAAAGATCTTGGGGAGGATTTAAATTGATGTTAAACTTTCTCCTTTTTTTCCTCCAATTTTGGCTGCAGAGGGAAGCTGAGTGCTGCAGGAATCTGAGTGGTGACTCTGGACCCCTAAGCTTTATCCAGGGATTTCTCAACATCGCCTGCCCAGTTTACTAAGGTGAGGACACATCTCTCAAACTTCAAGCCAGCATAACCAATGAAGGGCTCGTTTGATGTGTTGTGGTGCTGGGTAGGTGTGTCATTAGTGGCTTCAGCAGGCGTGTTTTCCCAAGGGCTGACAGCTTGGAGTCCAGCTCCATTGTATTGCTTTCATCCTGCTTGCTTGCATACAAAAGGTGTCCGTTTCCCCAGGCCCACAGCTGCTCTCCTGTTTGATGCTGTCATGTTGTGGTGGAGGGTGGACTTGTAAAGCACACCTTGGGGCTGGGGGAGAAGGAGCACAAGGAGATGATTCACAGCTGGTTGTAACGGGGGTGGGTGGGAAAGAAGTGTCAAGCTGCTCAGAATAGATATATGCTATAAAGAGTCCTAGGAAGATAAGAAATGAGAGATTCATATCAGTTTACTTCCCTCGG